GGAGGCTGTGTCCAGGAGTACCAGAGCCTCACCGGGCCTCTTGCGCCTCCCTCACCTCCTTCTAGCTTTTTCTCTGTTGGACAGAGCCCTCCACTCCTACTCTATAGATTGCTGGCCCAGTTTCTCCTGGCTTGACCATTTTTTTCTGCTCCCCAGTCGGGTGGCCCACCGGTGGCAGCCACCTGGCAGGCCCGTGCGGCTAAGAGGCCGCTTTGGTGGCCAAGTGGCTTGCATTGTCCTTTCCCCTCAAAGGAGCTGTGAAGGGCCGGCAGGTCGCTAGGACCGCATGTGAGGAGAAGCCGGGTTAAAGGAGGAGGGGCCGGGGACGATGAAGGCGCAGCACGTGCGCCCAGCCTCCTCAGGACCAACAGACAGAGCGGGCGGGGCCAGCCGGGAGCTAGGCCCCCCGGGCTTCACGCAGGGAGCCCAAATATTGGGAACAAAAGCGGGAAAAGAGTGAGAGCGGGAGGGAGCGAGGGAGGGAGCGAGGGAGGGAGCGAGGAAGCAGAAATTAGGGGGTCTTAGATGAAAAAAAGAAAGTAGCTTTAGGGGGAATGTGCCGTGGAGTGTGAAATTGCAGCCCATGGTGCTCCATATTGTACCAGAAGCTCTTCCAAAAAAAAAAAAAAAAAACCATCCTCCAACGTGACCAGAGGGCTAGGAAGGGGGAGGGGCGGGGAGAGAATGGGGAGGAGGAGGGGAAAGGGCCGGCCGGGCTGGAGCCGGTCAGGGCGAGCTGGAGAGGGGCCAGCGTGCGTGCGCCGGCTGCTTGGGACCTGGTCGCCGAGAGAATGCGCCCCGGGGTGCACGCCGGGACCCTGGGGCGAGTGGGCCGCAGCTGTCCCGGACTTGGATTGTCAGACAAACTTTTTTTCTTTTTTTCTGGTGGTGGTGACTTCCAAAACTGGGAATAATTCTGAAAAAAAAGCTTGGCTGTGGAGCTGCTGCTCTGCTCTACCCCTCCGCTCCTCCTTCCTCCGTTTCTGCTTTTCTTCCCTTTGGACTTGTTTTTCCCCCCTTGGTTCTAAACAGCTTTCCCCGCCCTGAACTTTAATGCGTTTAATTTGGTCCGCGCTGTGGGGAGCATTTCCTAGGGAGATACATTTAATTTCGGAATTTCTAATCCCCTCCCTCAGAGCCCCGGCCCTGGCTCCCCTTGCCGCTCCCCGGGAGGTGGAAGGAGTGGAAGGAGGAAGGTTGGCCCAGGCCACCAGGGAGGGGCTTGGCTGGGATGCTCTCCGGGCCCCCACCAGGCGCCCCCCCTCCCCCACCCCCTCGCGGCCCAGCCGCCTTCCTCAACTGCTCCAGGTCAGGCGCCTGGGGCCCCAGGTCAGGGCCCTGCCTGCAGAGGGTAGGCAGCCAAGACTCAGCTTTTCCTCGCCAGGGTAGAAAGCACTGGGCCAGGGAATGGGAAAACGGAAAAGGAGCAGAAGGGTCGGGCAGGGAGAGGGTGCAATCGGGGGCACCGGAAAGGGTTTACCGAGCACTTCATGCACAGCCTGCACAGAAATGCATTTGGGAGCTCAGGGTGCTAGTCGCTCTTGGCTTGCTTGGGGTGACTTTGCGTGTGTATACTGTGGAGGAGGAGAGAGCAGCTCAATGGCGACCAAGGCCTTCCGGACACCTACACCCGACAAAGCAGACGGGAGACAACTGGAGAGCCTGGTGGCCGGAGATCGTTAGAGAGGAAGGAGGCAAGGGCGGGGGTGCCAGGCGCCAGGCAAGCCTGGCAGGGAAGGGAGCGGAGAAGGTGAAGGAGCGGAGATCCACAAGGAAGATTTATTGGGCAGATCAGATGCACAGAGGCGGCTAATGAAGCAAATCCCGAGATGGGTATCAGAGCAACTCCCCAAAAGTTTATTTGCCTTTAAATTTCCGCAGCGAGGCGGGCGCCTTGTTTGAAGTGTAAATGCCCCTAGGTTGGGGGGTGGAAGGGCTGCTTTGAAAACACCAGAGAGAAAAGGTTCATTTAGAGGCAGACGGGAAAAGCAACCAACCCTGACAGGTCGGAGCCCGGGTTGTGTTTGGGGTTGGGTTGTTTTCTTTCTTTCTCTTTCTTTTCCTCTTTCCTCTTCTTTCTTCTTTCCTTTTTTCCTTTCTGGCTTTTTTCTCCTCTACTAAGACTATAGGAGAAAAAAGGGAAGAACAGGAAAGGGAGCATCAGAGGGAGAGGGCAGCACCTGTGGAGAGAAATCTGTAGGCCAGCCCTTCAGGCTGGAGCCCTGGGAGAAGGCTGAGTCTTGGCTAAAAGGGTTTCTAATCATCGGGGAGTATTGCTCTTTGATTTTCTAGACACTTGAACAGGCTGGAGCCAAGGAGGAAGCTGCCAGGGGCTGGCTTTGTGGGAGGGTGGATGTCCAGCTAATGCAGTGCTGAGGAAAGTGTCCCAGGAGCAGGGGGAGTGGGGTTCTGGAATCTCAGGGGCTACCTGGGAATTGGACTATCACAGAAGTGTCTTCATGGGGTACATGTGTCGTATAGGTGTGTGAGTGCAACTTCCAGCACACGTTGTGCACTAAGTCCTCTTCTTTACAAAACATGAAAATCCCTCTTGCTTAGTATGTAAAAAATGCCTGTTGTCTGCACCCACACTTCTTCGTAGTATGTGTAACCTAGGGACATGTCTAGCTGATTCTAGAAAAATCTGAGTCTGTGTGTGGAGAGGGGTCCTGCCCACAGTCCAGTTTTTCCAAGAATTCAGACTCCCTAAGACAACATCCTAGACCAACATAGGGAGACCTGGAGCAAAGGGCTCCTTCGGTTCTGAGCTCCTCTCAGTAAGGACCCTTCCTCGATGTGGCCCCCTCATCCCAATTCTGGGTTAATTACCTCCATGAAAGAAGCCCAAGGCTGTACCAGCTAATAACACCTGAGAGCCCTTTGCTCCCAGGCCCGGGAGCCTTTTCCTTTAGGCTGCCCGGAACTGTTTTCGTTTTTCGCTCCCCACACCAAGTTAGTGCGTGTTCGTGGGGTTGTGAGGCCAAAGCAAACCCGGGAGCGCCATCTGCAGGTCTCGAGAGGAAGAGACTGACCTTTGGGGCTGGACCCTGCGCCTTCCACCTACAGCCCGAGAGAACCAGCTTGGCCGCCCAAAGGAAGTGGGGGTGAGGGCTGGGAGGGAGGGGGCAGGGGGGGATTTTTCCTCCCAGAAGTTACTTCGCAGGTGGATTAAGCGGATTGGGCTCCGGAGGATCCAGGAAGGAGAGCAAATGACAGGATCCCAGCGGATCCGGCTTCCTAAAGAGTGGGAAGCTCGGAACCCTGTCGGGCTGAACCTGGCCCGGACCCCACCCGAGGATGAAGGGCGCTCTGAAAACCCAGGTGCAAGAGGCCCTGTAGGAGTTTCCTCCTGCCTGAGTTGGGCGGGTTCGGCCCCCAACCTAGCTGCCGCCTGGGCGCTGGCCAGAGGGACAGCGGCGCGAGTTCGCGGCGCTTCTGCGGGCGCCAGGGTCGGCAGGCAGGGGCTAGAGTCTCCTCGAGTACCGGCTGCAAGAGCGCAGCGCCGGCTTCCCTCAGCCGCCCTGTCGCAGACCCAGAAAGGGAGGAGGAGGGAGGGAAGGAGGGAGAGTTAAAACATCAGCTGAAGTGCCAAGATGATTTATGAGACGAGGGAAAATATTTCATAAAGATCTCCCGGATATTCTGTACTTAACCAGTTAGGAGACAAAGGGCTTCTCCTGCCTGGTGCGTGCGAGCGGACCTGAGCGAGCGAGGGAGCGAGTGCGGAGGAGGGCTGCGGAGGCTGGACCAGCTGCTCCGGCAGGAGCGGGTCCGGGCAGAGCGCGCTGCGCCTCCTGCGCTTGCTCTGGATCCGCCGAGCTGGCAGCGGGCGGCGCTCAGCCTCGTTCGCAGCCTCTTCTCCCCAGCCGGGGAGAGCGAGCCGAGCCTCGGTCTCCCGCGTCCTCAGCCGTCAGCGACCAGTCGTTCTGCACTGTCTCCCCAAGCCCCGTCCCCGGCCACCCGAGGGTCCAGGAGCCAAGTCCCCGGGCTCTCGCACCGTCCATTGGGTCCCACTGAGGCAGGTGGGTCCCCGCCGGAGGTCTCGATTCTAAACCGAGCGTTCTGGGCTGTCCAGACCCCGTTAGGCAAGGGGACGAGGGAAGCCCTGCGCGCAGCCGTGCGTGGGACGAGAGAGGAAAAACCGCCGGACACTTTGCCCCGGAATGAGAATTGGGGGTATGTGGGTGGGGAGTTACCTCAGGAGGGACAGACGAAAGAGAAGGACCAGAGAGAGGAAGGAAGAACGAGGGGGAACGGAAGGGAACTGAGAGCTGAGAGTAGGGGAGATAGGAGTAGGGTTGCGGACCGAGCTCGGGGCCCCGTGGCTCATGCGGGCACTGGCCAGTGGATGGCAGGGCTGGGTGAGTTGGGACTTCGAGCCGGCTTCCGAGCGTGGCGCGTTCTGCGACCCTCTGTCGTTGCCTGAATATTCATTAGACTGGCCGCTCTTTATCCTTATCTAACGTTTATCTTATCGGCGAGTTTCGTTTCTCAATGTAGTTTTAATCCCAGGCTCCCCTGCCCCCTCCCCCTGGCCCGCTCCCCTCCCCTGCCCTCCCCCTCCCTCCCCTTCCCCTCCCCCTCCCTCCCCCTCCCCCTTCACCCGTTCCTCCCTCCCTCCCTCTCTCCCTCCCTCCCTCCCTCCCGTTTCCCCCTCCCCTGCCCTCCCCTCGCCGGCACCGGAGTGACAGGCGCGGGGCCCTCCTCGCCGAAGCTCGGGGCTCCGGCGCTGGCGAATCACAGAGTGGTGGAATCTATTGCCTTTGTCTGACAAGTCATCCATCTCCCAGCGCGGGGAGAGGGAGGGGGTCTGGAGGGGGCTTTGCAGCTTTTAGAGAGACACACACCGGGAGCCGAGGCTCCAGTCTCTGGCCGAGTCTTCTCGCAAACGCAACCCACCTGGGGCCAGTCCAGTGCTGCCGGCGTCCCTCGGCTCCCTCCCTTCTTCCCTCCCTCCCGGCCCTTCGGCCGCGGCGGAGCGCGCCAGCCTTTTCCGGGGGCGGGGGCCCGGCTCGAGCTCTCCCCTCCCGAAGGCGCCCGCTCGGACATCCCGAGGATTGCTACTTCTTTGCCAACTTCGCCAACTCACCGGCACTTGGAGCGGCCCGGCTCCCCGCCCGGCGCCCTCGGGCCGCCCCTGCTCCTCGGCTACTCCGACTGCCGCCACTGGATGAAAGGGTTCCAGGGGAGCTGAGCGAGCCGTCTCCCCCGCCCAGCCTCAGCCCTGGCCGCAGCTGCCGCGCGCGCCATGCGACCCCAGGTCCCCCCGGCCCGGCCTGCCACCCCGGGGCCGTTCTGCTGACCGCCCAGCCCCGCGCCCCGACGGTGGGAAGTTCCGGGCGCTGCGGTTGCAAGCTCCGGCAGGCCCGGGAGGAGTCCCTGCAGGGAGCGCAGCGCGGCGCCCCCCGGCCCCCGAGCGCTCCGCCGCAGCCGGGAGCCCGCTCACCCCCCCCACCGTCCCTCCCTTTTTTCCTCAAGTCCTGAAGTTGAGTTTGAGAGGCGACACGGCGGCGGCGGCCGCGCTGCTCCCGCTCCTCTGTCTCCCCATGGATATGCACTGCAAAGCAGACCCCTTCTCCGCGATGCACCGTGAGTACCGGCGCCCGGCTCCTGCCCCAGCTCGGGGCTCCCCGTCCCGTCCTGGCGCGGCCCTGGCTCCCCACGCCTCCAGGTCCCATCTTGGAGGCCACCCTGGCTTCTCCTGGTCACCCCTTTCGTTCTTCCTCATTTCCCGGTGTTTCTAAAGCCCCCAGTTTCTCTCCCTTCTGCCTTGTCGCTCATACTTCTTCTACCTGCCTTCATACCTCCCTGGTGCCCATCACCCTCCTTCCTTCCACCTGCTTTTTCTTAGGTAGTGGATCCACAGCCCCTGACCCTGGCTCCAACCACTCTACTCCCTGGCCACCCTCTTGACTGGAGCTGGGGGACTAATGGACAGGCAGTTTTCAGGGTTTTGTGTTGTGTTTTCTTTATCTTCTCTCTTTCTCTCTCTCTGCCTCCCCCTCCTCCCTCCCCTCATCTCTACCTTTCTGGAACTTAGAGTGTGGTGGTCCAGGAGGAGACTCCCAGCAAGGGCAGCCTCAGTGTCAGGACAATCAGGCTGAAGAGTGTGGGGGTGGGGTGCCCCCTTCTGACCCTCAGCTCCCAGCACCTCCTGGCCCTGCCAGCCCAGCCAAGGCTTCTTGTGGGCTGGTTTGAAATACTTCCTTCCTCTTCTTTTTTTTTCCTACCTTCCATCCTACTCCTTCCCCTCTTGTCCTGGAGTTGGGAGTCTGAGATTGGCAGGACGTGGTGGTCATCTTTCTCTGCCTCTCCCTGGGAGATGCTCTAAAAACAAAGAGGGATTCCAAGAAATCGAAGTCTGTGAAAGATCACGTAGAAGAGCCTTCCAGGCGATCCCTGGGTAGAGCAAAGCTCAGCTTCTAGTTCTGGAGGCTCCTTGCTGAGCTCCCACTCCCTGGTAAGGATGGGCCAGCCAGTAACCTGGCCAGGGGATAGGAAAAGAGGGAGAAAAGGAGTGGGGAGAACAAAAGGAAGGCAAATGCCAAAGCTGGGGAGAAAGGAGAGAGAAATCAAAACAAGGGGGAGGAAAGAAGAGCCAGAAAACAGAAAAAAAAGGTTACAGGAAAAAGGAGAAGGGGAGAAAAGAAATTTAAAACTAGGAAAAGAATTATTTTAATGAAATTTGAATTTATCTAATTCTTGTCATATGTCTTTAGCTTGGAAAACAATTCAGAGGTATTTTTTGTTTGTTTTGTTTTGCCGCCTTCTTTTTTTTAAAGATAAATAGATTCTAAATAGAAAACGTCCCCTCCTCTGTAGGTTAATAATCAAGGATGATTTGTAACTTTTCACAGGGAAACTTTTTAGACCTGGCTTGGATATGTGCTTCGGACAAGAGAGCCTAGGAGGGAGAGCTGTATTTTTCTCTAAGCATATATTTAGCGCATATATATATATATATATATGTGTATGTGTGTGCTTTAAAAAATACTCCTGTGACAAAATATATTTCCCTAAATAATTTCCAAGCACAGGAAATCCGAGCCAGGGGCCTCCGGCTGCCGCGGGTTTCTGGGAGCCGAGGCTGAAATCCTGACTCCTTTTCGGAGGGAGGGGAACGGGGTACCACGCCGTCTTCGCCCAGCCCGCCGGCCTCCTGGCCCCGCTGCCTCTCCTCTCTTGCCGATTCCGCGGGGGATCTGCCGAGTCCTGGCCGCCCACTGGGTGCCACTTTGAAACCGAAAGGGTAGCAAGGCGAGCCGAAGGTGGTCGGAGGAAGGGAGAGACCGCGGCGCGGGCGGGCGGGCTGGCCGGCCAACAGCGGCAGCCCGAGTCGGCGCCGGCGGCAGTGGTGCATTCCAGGCCCGACTCAGCGCAGGTTCTCGGCCCCAGCCCTGGACTCCCGCCGTGCCCCCTTCCCTTACCCACCCCTTAGATTGGGGTCGAGGGGCCGGGCCCGGAGCCCGAGGAGGCTGAATTATTCATCTTTAATCTGCCCGCAGCTGCCGCCTTTTCATACCGGTAACGCGAGTTCTCCCGGGGCCTAAATTATTGATAGTCGGGTTTGGAGGGAGGGGAGGGGTGAGGAGCGGGGCTAGAGGTAGGGAGCCTAGCAAGGATGAGGGGTAGAATAAGAGGCTCCGGCCTCCCCCAACCTCTAGATCAGGGGCCTCTCCCCAGGGGTTTCGCCGGCCCCTATTCTCGGTCCCCCAGAAGGGAACGGGAGAGAAGCAAGTCGGGTGCAGATGTCCCCGCTTTCTCCGAAAGTCGCCTGAGGCTAGCAGGACAGGGACTGCAGGTTGCTGGCCCGGTCGGGTCGGACTCTGCCGCTAGAACTCTCTGCGGTTAGATTGCTCAGTAACTGCGGCTGCAGGTTGATGGCTTTGGGTGCAGGATTTCTAGACTCCTGTCAGCCAGGGAGAATGGGGCGCCAGGCAGCGTCCTCAGGCCTGGCATCCGGCGACCGCCTCGGCTCCGAGGTTGGGAGCCTGCGCTGGAGTCTGGTTGGAGACCCAGCACCCTCCTCTTGCCCAGGAGAGCAAACGCCGTTACTGCCCGGTTTCCCGAGTGGCTGCGGAGGTCTAAAAGGTCAGATGGACACGAGCTGGCTCGGGCTGGCTGCACAGGGTGCCCCGTGCGCCTTCAGCCCGCCTGAGCTACCTGTACCGTGCGTCCTGAGCGAGGCCGTGGGCCCCAAGCCTAGCGCAGCGCGGCAGGCGGACGAACCCAAGCAGTCTGCGTTCTGTGGCTGCTACCCCGGCACCTTGCCGCTTTCCACTGCCTCCCCGTCTCCGAGCGCAGCAGATTCTGGGCCCCTGCCTCTTCAGCCTTCCCTCCTCCACTTGGCTTTCTTTGAACTTTAAACATTACAGAGGCGAAGGGGAAATATGGCTCCCCAAATATCTAAAGATAGAAAACATAAAGGAAAGAAAAGCTCCCCATCAGAAAACAAAACAAAACAAAAACACAGGGAAAGAGGCAGGAAAACTCTAACTCCAATTAAAAATAAATACAAAGAAAGAGGTAGGGAGCAAAAGGGGGGATGTCAGGGACTTAGGCCCCCTCTGTGCTTGGAGTTCTTATGTACAGAGTCAACCGGACCCAAACACCCCAGAATCATCCGCCTCCAAGCAGGCTCCTACAACTCCCTCTTGCCTGCGGCTCAGGCGGGATTCCGCACCGCTCCGGTTCCGTCCTCCGCCCGGCCCTTCCTGTCCTCTCTTCCCTGCATTCTTTCCTGCTGGCATTAATTCCCACTGTGCTGTTTTTCTCCCCCTCTTCCCTTTTTTTCCCTCTCTCCCTGCTTCCCCATTCCTTCCCTCACTTTCTCCCTGGCGTAGCACCGGTCTTAGAGCCGTTCTTTCCCAGCCCTCCGCCCAGCATCTGCGCTTCCGCGTTTCTGCAGCTCCGCAGATTCCAGCCCCTAATCCTCTGCATTGTGGTCGGCAGCCTTCGTTCTCCCGCGAGTCCGGGAACATGCCCTTCCGCCCTGCCTGCTCCCTTTGCACGTCCTGTGTCGCGGACCCTGACTAATGGCCGGTCCCTGCTGTGTGTGGGGTGTTGTTTTTTTTTCTTGTCTTTCCCCAGCAGGGCACGGGGGTGTGAACCAGCTTGGGGGGGTGTTTGTGAATGGCAGGCCCCTGCCCGACGTGGTGAGGCAGCGCATCGTGGAGCTGGCCCACCAGGGTGTGCGGCCCTGCGACATCTCCCGGCAGCTGCGGGTCAGCCACGGCTGTGTCAGCAAAATCCTGGGCAGGTGAGGGCCTCGGAGCTGCCCCTGGTAGCTGCCCTGTCTCCTTCCCTGTTTGGATAGCCCTGGGTCTCCAGCTGAGGGCTTGGCTAAGTCGAGGTCGCCAGTGGGAGAGGGAGGTTCCTGACTGGGGCTATCTGGAGAGCTGCTCCTTTTGGAGAGGGCACTCAGGTGGTGACTGTGGCCCCAGAAGCGAGGTTGGAGCAGGGCCATCCAGCACCTGCCCCGCTCCAGGGTCCTCACTGGGAGATAGCCTGATTCCAGTCTTCAGAAACGGAAGGACAGCCCTTCCCTTTGGAAGGGAGGATTGGAGGATAGCCTGATTCCAGTCTTCAGAAGCGGAAGGACAGCTCTTCCCTTTGGAAGGGAGGGTTGGAGGAATAGGGTGGAAGGTAAAAATGGGTCCCTGAGAAGAGAAAAATCAGCTTGGGGAGGTAGAAGGTTGGTCCTGGTTCCCATAGGGTCCCTATGCTCTGTGGGAAAGGTCTGGAGGCCTCCAAGTACTGTCCCCCCCCCACCCCACTCTTCCCAAATGAGGGGCCGGGCTTCCACTCCCAGGGGCATTGATTCCAGCTGCTGTGCGTGCAGCCTTTGGTATGGCCACCTCCAGGGAGGGAGCGCCCCTGGTGTCCCTCCCCTCATCCTCCACTGCGTCCCTGCCCTAGCCAAGTGGACTCTGGAAGCCGGTTCAGACACTCTGGGCCTTTTCCCTCCGTGCCACTGCCTCAGGCAGGAGAGTGGCTCAGCGGCTCCGGCGCCTGCAGCGCCCTGTCCCTGCCACCACCCGCTTCTCGCTGACCCCGCCGGTCTTCCCGGCGCAGGTACTACGAGACCGGCAGCATCAAGCCCGGAGTGATCGGCGGCTCCAAGCCCAAAGTGGCAACACCCAAAGTTGTGGACAAGATTGCTGAATACAAGCGACAGAACCCGACTATGTTCGCCTGGGAGATCCGGGACCGGCTCCTGGCGGAGGGCATCTGTGACAATGACACAGTGCCCAGCGTCTCTTCCATCAACAGGTGAGCAAGCCACGCTGGGCTGCAGGGTGGGGCTCCAGCTCCCAGCTCCTGCCCACCAGGGCTTCCCCCAGCACCGGTCTCCGTTCTTTCTTCGGCCTCTGCCTGCCCTTGCTCCTGCTCCCAGCTCCCAGGTCCTTTGGGCAGGGAGAGGGGACCTGGGAGGCAGAGAGATAGACAGACAGACAAGGCTGTCTCCAGCTCAGGGCTGGGTATTCCCTGCCAGGCTTCTCCCGCTGGCGTCCTGGAAATGAATCCAAGTGTTTGTGGTAATTAAGACTCCAAGATTACGCGCCTCGGTATCTAGAGACAATCACAGCCCACAGCCGAAGCCTTTAAAATGACCAGTGTCTATTCATCGCCTCCAAACAGACTTCCCTTTCTAAAGGCATGCTCCCTTCCGCAGGGGCAGCCGCCTGTCCTGGCTCCCCCGCCATCCCTGCTGACTCCCACAAAGCTGGCCTCCCGGGAGCCCAGGACTTGCTAGCCAGCTCCTCACAAATTTCCGGCCTGTTACCACCAGTATCCAGGCCTGCAGAGCAAACGCCAACCACCGGTCAGCCATTGGCAGGGAGTAGAGGAACTAGACCTGGAGTGGGATGCCAGGTCAGCAGGGAGAGCTCTGGACCCTGAGACTGAACCTTAGGAGATGCCTCCAACCACCTAGAGTACCTACGTCCAGGCCTAAGTCTGCACTGATGACAGGCTCAGGCACAGGGGGACAACTCAGGCTGGATTCAGCTCGACATATAGTAGCACAAGATAGTCAGTCTCCCAATCTCTGAGCCACTCCAGTGTGCTCTCTGGGACCCATGCACACTCCATGTATGTACCCCCCGCCCCCGGCCAGTGTACACATGTGGCAGGTACAGCACATAACAAGAGCACTTGGACATGGGAACCCAAGATGGCTTTCCCATCACAGAACTGTACAACCTGATGTCAGCAGAGACCCTGTGCAAATTCCAGACAGCCTTGGCCAGCTTTTCTACCCCCGCCCCGCGCATTGTAGGGCAACGCCCCAAATGAGAAGAAGACTGAGGCTTTCATACCCTTGTTTTTCTTTACACTCTTCATAGGCTCATTATCAGGACAAGTAATAATTCAGCTGGTGCCTTTTTCTGAAACTGGCATCGCGTATCAAGGTTTTTTTTTTTAATATTTTGCAAATGAAATGGAATTATCCCAAGTCATGCTGAAAACAGCAGGTAAAATTAGCTGGTAGAATGTACCTTGGCTAAAGAAGATTCCCTCTGCCACACTCGTGCTGTAACGTACTGCGAGGCGACCCCAGAAATTATCCCAGTGTGTGCCATCTGTATAAAATGGTTATTCAGTTATGAACAGGGTACCATAATACTGATCAGCTAATTATACACCCTCCGAAAATTCTCCAGCTCCCTGGGCCTGGCTCAGCTAGGTATTGAGAGCATAGTGGTTTGACATTCAGATACCTTCCAAAGGAGCTGGAGAAATTCTCCTGGTGGTTTGGGAGAGGAATGAGTCTTTTGCATTTAAAAGCCAGAGGAGGAAGCTGGGGAAGCTTTGCGGCTGGGGCAGGAGTGTCGGTGAGGGATGGGAAGGGGCCAAAGCATTGTCTCCTCTCAGCCTCTAGGCTGGCTACTGGTCTTGGGAGTGAGTTGGAACCGAGGTCTTGGGAGGAGAGCAGCCCTGCTGAGGAGCAGTGTTGCTGGGACTGGGTGCTGGTGTTCTGGAGAACATTTGGTAGAAATCTTGTTGTTGTGATAGGATTTGCAAGCCGATGGAGGAACCCAAGATATGTTCGGTCAAAGGCAATGTGCTTCTCTTGATGTGTGGAGGATTGGAGCAGTCAAGGCAGGTGTGGCGGCAGCGCCCCTTGCCTAGCACTCTGTCTAGCACCCCTTCTCCCCCCCCCTCCCCAACATATACCCCTCACTGGCCGAGATGTTTTGGGAAGCTGGCTTATACAAAAGTCGGGGAATACTCTCATCCTGACAAGCCACGGAGAGCAGGGGACGTGTGGCCCCAGGATCAAGCTCCAGAGGCCTTGAGGTGCGCTCACCAGAGCTGAGAGAAAGTAGAAGCGTGAGCTGCTAGTGGGATGAGAGTGGGAGAAAGAACGGCTTCAGCTTGACAGCTCTGACAGCAGAATTTGCTCAGCACGGAGCCCTATCACCTGAGGGGCACGGAGGCTACCTTTGGGTGTGGGAAAATAGCCATCTGTGGACAGGTGTTGCTGGAGATGGCAAGGGAGTGGGAGGAGAACGGGGAAGCCACCGGCAGCATGGGCAGCCAGCCCTGGGTCTGCAGCTAGGCTTCCTGGCTTGCGTTGTCAACAAGGCACAGTCAGGGTATTCTTGATTTTGCTTTGGGACAGAATCCTACCGTGACTCATACTTTGGAAAGAATTCTGGGGGCTTCCCAGTGTGCTGCCGAGTCAGGACTGGAGGGATGCATCTGGGCCCGTGCCCTTAGTGTCATCCCTCGAGGTGCTTTGCTCTGAAAGGGAGGGTTTATCTGAGATGCGTTGCTTCAACCCTAAAACCTGCTAAAAGCGGGATTTCTGCTGGCGCCGCTGATGCCAGGAACTTTGTGAAATCTCACTTGCTGTAAGGAAGAGCCTACAGATTTTCCTCTGTGTAGAAAGTGTGACGCGTTGGGGACCGGGTGGTTCTTGAGTTTAGCGCTTTACTGTTGGTGAGGTGCCCACTTGTGTTGGGTACTTTATAACCCTCATGGTAAGAATGTGCCCGTGCCGGCCGTTGGCAAGAAAGGAAATCCACACATGCTTATCCACCTGAGCCAAATCATGAGGGTTTTCATCTTCTCCTCCCCAAACAGAGGCTGTTGCCACACTTGAAATATACTGTTATGGTTATAAACTAAATTGCTTTTCATGCTTTAAAAATGGTTTGGGCTTTTTCTGATCCTGTCGCGATAAAGGCTTGGACATCCAGCCCGCATTCTCCATTGGCAAATCCTCATAGAAATACCTCTCTGAGCCAATGGAGTAGGTCAGAGAGGCCTCCCAACCTCACCCTCACCCCAGAGACCACCGTCAAAAATCCGGAGGGTTGACTAGATTGCTTAGCGTGCGGAATTTATTTGAATGACTCTCAATATTGGGTTACTGATCGCTGAGCCTGGAGTTGCCAGCTCTCCAGCTTGTACACCACTGCTGTAGAGGGCGGGTGTTTATAAACAGGTGACTTGAGATTGAAACCTGGTGTGGGAAGTGGCCCGGAGGGGGGAGGAGATGGAGGGAGATCCAAGCTGCTGAAAGGGAAACAGCCACCTAGTTACGTTGCTGAGCAATTGGCTGGGCAGGAAGGATTTTCCTGATTATATGCCAGAGTCTTCAGGTTTGTCTGTTGCTCTGGGCAGGGAATATAGCTCCTTTGAAGGCACAGGCGCAAACTCCAGATACAGTCTAGGGTTACTGAAGATCCCCTGAGGGCACTGTCTTGGACTGAGCTGGCAAGGAGGCCCTGGCTCTCTTAACTTTTTCAGCCTGCCCTATACTCTTTGGGATCAAGGCACTCTCAGCTCCTAGATCCTTGGAGTGGACCCTCCCAGAGTCAATTTCCCCCCGATCACCTGCTACCCACACTCTCTCTTAGCCTGTTGGGCTCTAAGTGAGCATATTTACTCTCCTAGCAGTGGCAGCACTGGCTTCAAGAAGGCGCCAGCCCCAGGGCTGTTGAACAGCTCCGTCTCGTGTCATCTGCAGGTCTTCGTTGGAAATCTGGCACTGGGGTGACAGTGGCCTAGCTGTTCATTCAAAGGCCTTTCCAAGTAAGCTGGGAGCCACTCATCCCAGCCAAGGGAATGCTGAAGACATGTTCACGGTGGGGGTCTGTGTCCCTTTCTCAGACACAGGTTCTAGAACATTGCACATTTGACTCTTGGACCGGGCTTGGCACAAAGCTGGCCCAGAGAGGCAGCGCTGCCTGCCCATCTCCGTACCCTTGCAGTTGTTTGGTGGTCAGGGCTGTTGGTCTAGTGGCAAAGAGCCAAGGCAAGTTGGTAGGTTAAGAAGAAGACTTCTCCCCACAGAGGAAAGGGAGAAGTAAGGATAGAGAACTTGCTTTCTGTGGCCCTGGGCCTACTGGATCAGGCCGCCTATAGTGGACAGACATGCCAGTTTCTGTCTGAAAAGGCTTTCTCACCTGTCCTTCCCCAGAGAGCATCTCCTGCTGCTGAGGCTGCCCGTCGTTAGAATAATGTGTGAAATAGTCATGACTGCTGGCCTTCTTATTTCTTAAAATGAGCTGGAGTTGTCCCCCTGAAAAGCCATTTTTGCTCCCTTAGTTATTTTAGACTTCTTGGCCAGCAATTGTATCGGCCTGTTTCCCTGCGGCCAGGCTCCGAGTGGGCGGGCAGGCCACAAAATGGCTTTCAGGTGAGAGCAATGGCTGGTTGCCCTGAGTTCTTACCTCCACTGGCAACTCTAGGAAAGAGGAAGGCAGGAGGGGTTGTCCCTAACGAAAGCTCCAGGTGGGTTTTGGAGGGTGATGCAAAGAGGAAACAAGAGGGGAAAACCCTAAATAAATAAATAAAGTGTGACCAACGATTCTGAGAACTCAATAAAACAATCACATCAAATATGAAGAGGCATAAATCTTGTATCTGCACAGGTAACCTACTCAATTGCTTTTATTATCGCTCAGGCTGCCTCCATTTATTACCGTCCACAGTCTGGGCAAAGGAGGTGCGTGGAGGGTGGTCTCCAGTGCAATCCTACACCCCGAGAGGCAACAATCAGCCCATACAGCCAGGGATTTCGATGGGAGCTCGGGAAGGGCCCATTTGTCTGCATGAAAACCAATCAATAACTCTGTAACCAGAGCCCTTGTCACAGGGAAATGGACAACACAACAGTTCAATACAGGGGCCACGGGGGGAATTAACCAAGTGGAGATGGGGCCAGGCAGGAGCAGCCCCTAGAGAAGGGAAATGGGGTGCCTGGAGAAGAGAATATTGGGGAGGGGGGGAGATGGGGCAATGGCTTTGTGTGCATA